GGGTCTACTTTTTGAATAATCCTAAAACTGGGTACTGTTTCTGAAAAAAATCGCCAGAAGTGGGTCTTGTTTTTTTAAATTACCTTGAAGTGGGTCTTTTTTTGAAAGAATAGATGTGGGTGCATTTTAGAGAAAAAAATCCCTAGATGAGGGTAGATATTTTGAGTCTCAGCGGCACCCCCTGTACAAAAATGTGACCAGTACCCCCCCCCCCCCCCCCGGTGCAATAAGGTTTCACAAAGAACTGGACAATGTCAATTTTTATAAGATGGTGATAATTCTCGTATATTTGATTAGCAATACAGAACCTTGTATTATTCTTTATTGAATTTAAAAGAAAATGCAACCATAGCCTTGCCCAAGTCGTCTATTTTACTTATCTTTAAGTTAATTTCTGTTATCATGACATATTAGAAATCAAGATACATATGATAGACCGACTTGGGCTTGTAGAATGAATTTTTCTGTTTTTTCAGTTTTTCAAGTACTTTAGATTATTTAGTTGTCATTAGCATGAAATCATCACTGGTTAAAAGCGTAATTCAGAAAATAGGCATGAAGAAAAAACGAAATAGTTTAAGGTTACACCTCGACTTCGACTCTATATGCCTGTCTGGTGCTGAGATTCATTCATTGTGGAATTAGGAAATATACTGTATAACGTCGTATGCACATTTACACGTATACACTTTTAATTTGTAACATACATGGCTTTCAACAAAAAAACTAAATTTTATGTAAACGTGCAAAGAAACAGTATCGAGAATTGAGTAATGAGTGTAACAATTTCGTGAACCCTATAAACGTATGATAACATTTTCATTAGAGACGTTAACAGTTGTAAATGAACTTGAACTTCAATGCGCGCGCAGAAAAATGACGTCAGATTTGTTTATTTTCTGGGGGTCAGCGTGAAGTTTACAGCGTTGTACGTGTCGATTATTATATTGTTCAGACCTGTAGCCAGGATTTACCGAGGGAGCAGTTTAACCAAAAGGGGCCTTTGACAAGGGGGGGGGGGGGGGCGGGCTTTTTGCCAGTTGTGGTAAAAAAATCATGCAAAAAGTGCTCCGAAAGTTGAAAAACTGTATGATTTTGAAAGAATTTCTGGCCGGAGGGGGGGGGGGGCGGGCGAAGCGGCCCTTGCTACAGGCCTGATGTTGCACATTGGTGCAATTAACAGACGCATATTCAACGAAGCATGAGCATGAACTTCAATGCGCACCCCTTCAACTCCTTCCACTCCAGCTTTTTAATTTTTCTTGCATCAATATATTGTGTTTTGACACAGTTAACCCATTTAAAGTAATAAGAAATTCCTTTTAGATAAAGTGGAAAACAATATTTCCCATGTTATTTTCCTATAGGGAAACTCATACGATCCATTGCTTTCAGCTTATTTTGGTCACCCATAATGGATATCTTTAAAACCCCCGAAGGAGTTTTGGTGCATTTTATTTAATGTTTATGGCCAACTGAAAGGGCCTGGTCAACTGAGCAGAAACATTATTAACAGTACATAATGGGTTCATAACGAACTAAGCGCAGTGAACGATTGGTAAAAGAGTGACGTCATGGTGCACTATGGTTTCATAAAGAACTGGACAATGTTATTTTCTATAAAGGAGCGATAGTATACTTGACTTTGAACCCAGAATCATTAATCTTTATTCGATTTTAAAGCATTCATACATGACTTTGCCCATCATGATAATTGTAGTCCTACTCGGATTCCGCCCTCGTACATTGTGTGAAGCCTACGGGTTAATAATGCACTCACGCTTTTATAATTTACTTACATTTTCCCGGAAAACTGAGATGATTGCAAGAAGGTTTCCAAATACTCCTAATACGGGAAATGTTGCAGCAAAGAATATGTAAACTGCAAACTTTCCCGGGGAATGTTCAGCATAATTAGGATATGTCCATCGGTAGCTCTGATCAGATGCATTCGTTGTGTTAATTCCGTCTGCCGAATCCACTAGATAGAACTCCATATTACCTTCTTGTTACATGTAATTTGTTTGTTACTTTAATGTTTTGTTGAACACATCATTTATATGAACATGGTCTGAGAGAGAGGTAGCCGAGCTTAAAGCCATCACTTTTCAGCGAATAAAAAAAGTTTAAGTTTATTTGTCCGTCATAGATTTCAAACCCGCTATCTAATTGAATTGGCAACATTCTATAATACAGTAACTAAATAATGACATTTACATTGAAATGATTAAGATTTCGCTTTTTCACATTGATAATCAAATCCATAATATACATGTTGGGCCAAAATTTTTACTGATTTTAAAATGCAATAACTTGCATTATTGGCACGATTCGTCTCAAACTTTAAATGGCAGAATTTTTTGTCTGTGTAGGTTTATTGTAGCAGCCCAGAACCTCATATTCTGCTTGTTGATGTTGATATATCCAGATAGGTGAAAGTGAAGATCGTCACACACGTCATTCACTAAAATGGACATGGTGATTTGATTGGCAGCCACAAAAAACGCAGAGACGTACATCAAAACCACTAGAATAGTAGAAAATTTGCATCAATTCATAGTCATCTCAGAAAGTTTTAACCGAATCATGCCAATAATGAATGAGTTATTACACTTTAATATCAGTAAAAGAATAGTGCATACAAATTAGAATGAAAATTTAAACGTTTGGACCCCTCGTAACGACAGGCGTATTTCGAGCCGAAAGCTTGCGGATTCTTCACATTCCGGAGTTTGTCATTGGGAGTCCATTTGTCACCCCCATAACCCTAAAGTGAACCTTTAAATTCTTAAAAGTATGATGTTTTATGGTCAATTTATGATAATACGGGTTTTCTCAGGTGATTTAACTGGGTTGCCAACAACGTTTGTTTGGGGAAAAAGTATATAGGCTAATTAATGAGGCCATTATTGAAATATTTAGTACCAACAAAAAATTCTGAATAGCAAGTCCGATGTCCTGTCTAAGAACCACTATTGTAACTATAGTTTTAATATTTGACCTGGTCATTGATGCGTGAAAGCTTTTTTGGTTTTTGAGGCCATTGTGAGCCGATTCCTCTTTGGGCATTCTTTCAGACTGGTTGTTTTTATTAATGTGATTTTTAAGCCCAAGACTCAATGCATTGTTTGCTGAATCATACCATGAAGGTGTTGTTTCCAAACCTTTGCATAACCGCGCAGCGGGAAATTCTTTTCACACATTGTAAATGTTTTTCTATAAAAATCAATTTATGAAACACAACTGTAATGTATATGGAACTAAAAGTTTAAAGTTGATCAAAAGATGGCACTAGAGTATGCTAAACTAGACTCAAAACTGAAAAGTGCAATCAGAAGCCAATGTTTTTGAAAAGAAGTATGTTTTTGAAAAGAACAGTCAGTTCACAAAGAGAAGTCAAAGTATCCACATGTAAATATTATGTGAAGATGTAAAATAAGAAATAAGAACATAACGTTGTACAAATGAACCAAGAACCAAATAAGAGACTGAAATAAGCGAGAACTGTCGGACCCAGCGAGAGCATCAAAGGGGCCCCTCGTCATAACGTCCAGAACCCAAGATAGGCGTCGACAAGGTAGTATAAAACAAGACAATAACAATATTACAACAACACAAAATAATATGAGATTATAATTATATATATTAACTACAAGTTACCTAATTACAAAATACGTATTATAAACAAATACATGTGGATACAACCCAGTCATTCGTTTGCCGCAAAACAACAGCATTTACCAACATATGTAATGATACTTTGGAGTAAATCGTGAAATATAAGGCGTAAATGCTAGATGTCTAATAATCGTTATTCTAAATAGCATGAGAGGTTAGCGGCCAATCAAGCGATGCCATAGATAGGTAGCTGCTCTGGGCACTGTACTCCCTGTACTAATGGCTTTTGGAAGAAATTTTTCAGACTTGAAAAGGGGTAGCTGCTCGAGGCACTGTACTACCCACGGGGTGATTTAAAAAGGTAGCTGCTCGAGGCACTGTACTACCTGGATGTTCAAGTACGAATATCATTTACCGTCGAACAATCAGATAAGGATGCCGTTCGTGGGCAACCTTGCATCGGTGATAACGGGATAAGATAGTGCGCTCGGACTCCTATCTTCGGATCACAGTTATCCGACCCGAATGCAACACGTCGTGTTGTGATACCTGAATGTTTGACGTTAGAAAGATCAATGAGAGAAATCAGATAGATAAATACATTGATCCTTCGGTATAACTGAATTCGTGTTTTGAAGATGTAAATACGATATAATTACATTTGTAAATGAATGTAAATGAAAGATGGCCAACATACCAGTTGTTTGCTGTCAAGTAAAATTTTTTGCAAGTGTCAAGCTGGGAAGTCATCAAATCCCATGGGAAAAATCCATTCATCACCATGACCTTGACCTTGCATGTGTTATTGATATTTCACACACTGTACATTATGTGAATAGTCTGTTCGGATTGGCTGGAATCGGACACAATTTGCCTAGCTTTGTGTGAATCACTTATAATATCTGGTACAGTCCCACAGTTTTCATTAGTGTCAATTTTTATTGATTGCTTTTTAAACTTTCCAAGTTCAGGCCAGAGGAAATCAACGTTACAATATTATGTTAAAAAGAAAGTTGGCATTATTTACACATATTTTTGTGTATATGCAAAGACAAAATGTTAGCATAACAATTGAGGTTACACATCTTAATTATACACTAGCGTGTTTCCCGGAACATTACTTCTGTATTAAAGACATTTGAATAGAAAATATGAAATAGTTGATAAAAAATTGGGATTTATTAATTAAGATTAATTTCATTATTTTACCCCTTGGTGATGAAAGGGTTCATTTTTTGACTTTGTTACAAGCAAACATCCAAAATCAGGTCAGATCCTTAAAGCCGACACTCTCAGCTTTCCAATCTTGGAATCTTAGGACAAATTGCGACATTCTTTTGACCCTACTTTGCTCTACTATATATTATGCACTTGTATCTTGGTTATGCATTTTCAACTGCAGCATACTCCTGCTTCTTGCAACAGAAAATCAGACACAGGGCGTTTTTATAACCAACCCTAAAATCTAACCCCGGCTGCATATGGCCAAGAAGATTTGCAAATGCCCACAAATCTCTCCCATAATTGACGATATGATGTGACAAAAGGACAACTACGTAAGGCATCCATATCAAAGAAGCGATGAAGATTGCCTTTAGCAACCGCCCAGTTATGGCTATTTCAGCCATTTCTCGACGAAGCTGTTTCGTTTTGTCGTCGACGTTGTAGTTTGCATGTTTTGAATTACTGTCATCAACGAAAGCTTCCATCAATGAAATATTAGGCGCTATCGAGGACAGCTGAAAATACACATACAATATACACATTTTATTATTTTCCACGTACATTCCTGGACCTCCACTCATGCGGTCATCAGTTCCGACCTCGATGACTACATTCCTTCCGCCAGAACCACGCTTATCACAAAGCTAATATCGATTCTTAAGTCCCAAACCACCAATTCTCCTCTCCAAAACTTATTAATTTACTCGCGCACTAAGTTCCTACATTGCGAACAATTTGTCCGTGTACTTTGTCCAGGTACTTCCGAGAGCAAGCCAATATGTCGGACGATTTTAATGTACGGAGCGAAAAAAGAAAATGAAATGCATTTTTCACACCTTTCGCCGAATTTTCAATCATCAGAAAAGCATGCAATGTTGACATCGATGCCCCTTTGTAGAGTTTTGCATAAAGAGTTAAATGCCAGGACTGCGTCCTACTGAAACAATGCGCGGGATCGCAAAATTTTGTATTTCTTGGAGCTTGAAATGCTGTTATTTTTGATTAGTTGATATACTCCGAATTCAAAATAGAAACACTTCATTGGACTGCCATTGGAATGTCAGTAAATCGTAATATGATATATATATAAAATGACAAATTATTTGCTGTAATAGTTCGCGATGTGGGAAGTCGATGCATGAATACAACATTCGGAAGAGAGAAACTGATGGTTCACGACGAAAGAATCGATCGATATTTGCGTTTTGAGAACTTTGATTCGGATGGAGGAACGTGTGCAGCAGGTTCCAGTGGCGGATTCAGGAACCAACAAGCGGGGGAGGGGCAAATTTCCGGTTAAATTTGGGCCCCTAAAACCAAAAAGTGGGCCCAAATTTGAGCCCCATTTTCTTCAAAATTTGGCATGAAATCGAAAATAAGGCCTTAGAAGGCCCAGTAATGACCAAAAATGCCCACTTTTTGGGGCCTTAAGGCCTTTTTTGGTCCAACATTTTTTTCGGCCCAATTTATTTATTCTGGGCCCAACTTAGGGGGGGGGGGACGGGCCACATGGGCCCCCTCCTGATCCGCCACTGGGTTCGGAGCTGACGACCGCGTGAGTGTTGGTTGTTAATTAAACAGATCCGATCAAGTGTTACTTTTCAGCTATTTGATCGTTGACTTTTATAAGTGTGTAAATTTTCAAATCGATCATTATATGAGGACATAATGATAAGTGTAAATTATTGATAGCAGAAATGTGAATTCAGTTATTGGGGATTCGAACTTTACCTCAACTAGATTTCATGATCTTGGTAAGCCTCAATATCAATAGTTTCTACTTTTTATGTAACTTGGTAAGCCTCTGTATTAATAATTTTCATGTACACGTAGGTCAGAGCAACTATAAATAGTAGATAAGTGTTGACCTTTTTGTAATTGTTTATCTGGTAAAGCAATTACGTACGTTTTGTTGTTTTAACTTGGCGGACAGGATAATTTATATAAATCAGCGATTTTATTGATGCTACAGTACTTTCAATAGAATTTTGATAATAAGCGTTTCGTCGAGTAAACTACAGCTATGAACTACATACAATTCCCCTGATATTGTAATGCCTTAGATGAAACCTACCTGTCGCTTCTTTGAATTCAACTTGAGATGTGCGACGACAATTGATACAAACGTGACCAAAAGTAATAGAAATATTACTGCGAAAACGAACATTTTAGGTCGTACATCATCATAGTCGAATATGCATATCATGCTCTCTGGGTGATACTCCATTCTACCCCAGCTTAAAAACATCGGTAGCATTGACATCAAAGCAATCGACCATGGTATGAAGGCAATGACTGGCGTAGTCTTCCAAGTAAAGATTCTCTTGTAAAGCTTTGGAAAGCAAAGTAAAATCATTCTGGAAGTAAAGATATGTTTAGTTTTGACTTAATAAAAAGTCAATAAATATTACAGTGTGGTAGTTATTTGGTAAATTATTTGGTTATTTGGCCAGCCTTTTACATGAATAATTTGAAAAAATCAGTTGGCCATAGAAGTACGTTAAAGTTGTTTTGCAGTAAGGCACTAGAGAGGCTTCACACCAAAAGTATCCGCATCCGTATCTCGTTACAATTACGGATACGTTTTTCGATAATTTTTGTACGTTTTTTAAGTAGTCGTAATTATAAACGCATCACAGTTTTTGACTAATAGTAGTGCAAACTAGGGTCAAATAAATAACATCATCTGCAATAATAATTCATCGTTGGTAGTGTGAGCTTTGTGAATCACAACTCCATTTGAATTTTTGGTGAATGTAAAATAGATATTAACCCTTTCATCAATAAGGAGTCATTTATTAATTTTATGAAATCAAATAAAAAAAATCCCTAGGGCCAGAATATATTGTTTCTAGGTTCACAATAACCAATTTAGTGTCAAGTTATAATTTGGAGAATGTTTAAGGGTTTGAGCACAGATAGGCTGAAATAGTAGTCATTAAGTAAAGTGCAACGACTGCATTATGCTACAAAATGCGTAAACCTGTCTGTTTTCGGTAGAAATGAGATTTGATTTTTGAAAATAGTGTGTACATTTGCGTTTACTAATTTGAATTTGTCCTGAGAATATCAAAATTGCAGCAAGTGTGTATTGACTTAACATGAATATATGCACCCTTGACTTAACATTGGAAATCAGCATATTTCTTTGACCTTAATCTTTTAAAATATGCCCTCATAAGCATAGTTATCAATACCATAATTAGTTCCAAAGGAGCACGCATAATCTAAACAAATGGTAAGTGATTCACTATATATCAAACTATTCCACAACTAGTTAGTTTGACGGAACGTCGATGGAACAAAATGGATGAACTTACTGGTCACGAGTTTTTTGATTTCTCGATTAAAACCTACTTGTAAGTCAAGTTGCAGATTATAATTTAGAACACAGCTAGAAACCATAGTCGCGAATTTAATAAGTCTCTTCGATTTCGAATTTATCTCGTTAATGAAATTGCAATTCATATATTTAGCCTCTCGTTTTTGTTACATTGACGAAAATCCGTTATATTACCAATGTACATGTATGTTACTTTGACGACTGACGTCAATGTAACAAGAGAGCATTTTAAATTTTTAGTCCATGGTATGAAATTCCTAAGATGTCTAATTAAGGAGCTAGTAACACAATGTAGTGAAACGATATTTGACCGAATATTTACATATATGTTTTATATGTCCAGTACTGTTTTGTACTATAGCCATTCAATATTCTTCGGGCTTTTTGGCTTAATTATGCGTGTCATTGGCAGGGGTCGAAAATATTAGTAAAAACGAAATCCCCCTTTTTACAATTTGGAGTACATAATGCTACAGAAAATTATATGAAATAAATTTTGAGTGTATTTTTCTTAGGTTTCTCAACTATGAATTCGATGTTATTTTTCTTAGAAATACCCAGAAATTTCTAAATCAGCACATCAACATTTAGAATTATTAATGTATGGCGTTTGATTGCATGTATCTCTTATAAACTATTAGACATGCCCTCTGAATATATAAATGTTCTAATACCTCTACTAAATTCAAATAGATATGTATCTTACATATTTACCATTGTTTTATGTTTTATAACCATAATCACTGCTACCCACCTAGTTACACAGACGTATCGTCAGTGTATCATGGCGGAACTACTTCCGGGACTAGGTTTCGGTAAGATTTTTTTATTTCCCGATTTACACCTATTTATAAGTCACGTTGTGGATCATAATTTGGCTTGAAGTTAAGGAAGATAGTCTAGTTTGAGAATGTGTCGATGGTTTATGGTTTTATATATTAACGAAGACACAATTCACGTATTTAGTCCCTCATTTTTGTTACACTGACGAACGACCAATATCAGTGTAATATTGGCAATATTAATGCCGATCGTCAGTGTAACAAAAGCGAGGGACTAAATTTGTGAAATGCGTCTTCGTTAACATACCAAACCTAAAACCATCGACACATTCTCAAACTAGACTATCTCCCATAACTTCGAGCCAAATTATAATCCACATGATACACTGACGCCATGATACACTGACGATACGTGTGTGTAACTAGGTGGGTAGCAGTGATAATACGTAATCATTTCTTGTTTGACTCCTGGCGATGATAGCTATAAATTCTTTATATAAAAATTTGAAATAATAAAAATCTGTTATACTTGAAATTATGCATTTTTGAAATAATTCAAATAATTTTGTCGAGCCTGCTTGACCGATATTTAAAAAAATACACAGTATAAAATTAGCACATTTCTGTAATTACACTAATCAACCACTAGAAATTACATTAAAATTAGAATTAATTATGACAAAATAATAATTCAATTTATTGAAATTATGCTTACATTAACGTATTGAGTCTTATGAAATATGTAGAAATTGGAATGAAAATATTTACATTATTGACCCCTTGTAATGAGAGGCATATTTCGACCCAAAAGCCCGGCGTTTTTTCAGCAAACGGCATTTTAAAAGAATCGAGACATATATGAACCTTTTTAAATATTGGTTCAAATGTTGCTGAACTATATTATGTTACGGATTCTTCATATTCCGGAGTCATACCATGGACTATTTGTGAGAAATGGTAATCCGCAATATGGCTTATACGTAAGTTTAAATTGAGAAAACAAAAAATTCATATCCAGGAAGTTCATCCATTGTGTTACATTGACGTTATGTCAAAGTAGCTAGTTGTGGGACATTGATATCAAGCTTGAGTGAAATCCATCAGGTCAAATATTCGGCCTCTATTGTAACACCTATTTAGTAAATATAAAGTGCTGTATTGATAGTTTCAATTAACCAAGGGGCTCATTTAAGTTATCATTCATTATGTAGTCGAGTATCTGATCATTGCACACTTATGTTAATATAGGTGCCACACAAGTGCAACAAATAGGGAAAACAAAACTGATTTTTTGCCCCACTAAAAATTATTTTGTACGGCGTCAAAATTGCCCCTTTTTCAGTAATAGTATGGTCTACTTTCTGTCTCAAAACCCCTACGTACGATTTCATGGTATTTACTACGATTAGTGTATACGATTTTGATATTATGTACACGATTTCTAAACATGTCAATAAAATCGTATACGAACGTGAACGACGTTTATCGTAGAAAAATGCTAAACGCATTGACATATCGTATACTATTTATTAGTTAACTATACGTATTTTTATCTAGTTCGTATCGGATATATTTGCTACGTTAACATCGAAACCACTAAGGATTTTTTTGGGGTATACGATTACATAATCGTAGCTATCCTCAGACACAGCCGCCAGTCCTTGTGTATGTATTCATCTATCTATTATAGATGTCACTTCGATTCAGTTGAATATTCATCAGACCTCGATTGCATCCCAAAGGGTCCGCAGTATCTTGACTTTCTCCTTCGAACTTTAGATATCGAACCCATAAATCTATATTGTTTTGGCAAGGAAAACTGAGATTTTCTTTGGTATAAAAAGTACATGGATGGTGCTTTATAAAGATGACACATTGCGTAAACTTTTGTAAAGTTTACTTTTCAGTTTTAAATTGAAAAACGGTTTCTCCTTGGCTAGACTTATTTACGACCTCATTTGAACTGTTTTTTTAAAGTCCCCTTCTAAAGTTTGAAAATATTTTTTTATCATTCATTTACTATTTGTCATGACTTAAAAAGTTATTTTAGAGATTTTTGAAAAAAATTTTTTTTTTCAAAACAAAGTTGTGAGCATTTCATTTCTCAAATATTCAAATTTCCCGCCATTTTTCAAAAAAAGTTGAAATTTTTTAATCATCAAATATTTCTTATGCATTTCAAAAAAGATTATCCTTTTAACACAAATGCAAAGATTGAACAAAGGACACGCTATTTCAATAATAAAATGCCATATTTAATGGGCCACTTGAATGTTTTAGCATATCAAAAATATTTTGAAACATTAGTGATGTCACAAAGGTACCAAAAACTTTTTGAAAAAAATTGAAATTTTTTTTTCGGTGTCTATCTTTTCTCAATATGCTAGACTTCAATAATCAATCAATGTTGATTGTCTTATTAGGTTAAAAGGGAAAATATATTATGTTTTAGATATCATTGTACCATTGGTTTCTATGAGAACTAAAATTTTGAAATGCCTTTTTCTCAGAACCATTTTCTTGCACTGATAAGTTCATTTCTCGCTTATTTATGAACCGATTCTCTTAATTTTTTCGGCAAAAAACATGCGAGGATGGATGCTATGCATTGGTATGAATTGTGGCTATTTAAAAGATATATGTGACCTCTAAAAGTTAGTTTTAAATAATTTCACAAATTTTGGAACAAAAAGTCTATCAAAAACCACTTTTTGAAATTTAAAAAAAAGGTTTCACATATCACACTTTGATAACATTTGGTAAGACTACAATATAAGCCAAAGTGGTTTAAACTTTACACGGGGACTTTAAATATGAAGATACACCTGAGTGGTCTTTCACATTGTACATTTAGCTTGCTTTTTGATCATTTTCATTCTTTTCCAAGCTTAGATTTGTTATTAGTTATGAATATGAATGTCTTCGGGTTTAGGGTCAAACACGCTTCTCACATGTTGCTTTGTTTATTTATATTTGGGTGAAACGTGTTTCTCCAAAGTAAAAAGTCACTATTACATTACAAAAGGAGTACAGCCTTTATCACGGGATCGTTTCATATCATACTTTATATACCACCTTATCCTATTTGTGATATGTTTCAACAATTATAGTGGTCATTCATTCAGAATCGGTACAAGTACGGGATGCACATCGGCTCGCCTCGAGGGCCATCTTATAAAAACACTTTGTCGGTGGTCTTCCGACAGCTACAGGAGGTACATCCGAACTCTTG